TTGTATCGATGGTTCTCCACTGCAGAGAGATGAGATTAGCTCCTCAGGCAATGCTTAGCAGTGACCAGGACATGTTCGTTGGTCACAGCTAGAAAATCAGATGCTACTGATCCATTTACTGAGCAAGGGCTTGAGACTTCCCTCCCACGATGAAGAGTTGCCAAGGTTGAGAAATCCTAACCTGTGTTATTAATATTATATCCAAATTTTTGTATATATGGGTGTGAGGGGGGAATCCTGTGTGTGGAGATTAGAGGTCAATGTCGGATATTTCTATCACTCTCCACCTTATTGTTTGAGACATAAACCAGCAACAAAATGTTAGATTAAGCACTGGCCTGTAATATTTCCCAATTTCTGTGGCATACGTACTCCCACTGTGGTTAGTGTTATGTGTCAACTTGCCCGACCTATGCGATGCCCAAACAGCCTCTAAAACATGGTTTGTAGATATGTCTGTGGGCTCTTAACGAGCGTCAAGAGTTCCTGGCTCTTCAGTCCTTGGCCTTCGAGGTTTAACCAGCATACGGTGCTATTGCCCTGCCCAAATTCTCAAAACTTCAGACTGAATTAGTACTAGCTTTCCTAGCTCTCCAGCTTGCAGATGGAAGGGAAACTTTCAGGTTGCCATAACCATGTAAACCAATTCCCACATGAGTCTCTCTTATAGTAGCAATGGTTAGACTTAAACATTTTTGACAGTTATGCAAAAGCAATACACATACAGTAGAAATCGTCCTTGGGATTTTGACCTTCTCCCCAGGTTAGTGATACCTGGTAAGATACTATCTTGAGATTCTGGATGGCAATGAGTTTTCTACAGTGTGCTTACTGTATGCACGCTACTAAGCAGGTATTTGTGAGGGTAGGCGTCAAAAATTTATTTTCAAATTATGATATTCTTGATGACTGTGATGCATACTCTTCACTGTCATCTTTACTCAATTTATTGTCACCATGGAAACACATCTCTGGGTGTATCCATCAGATTGTTTCCACAAAGGGTTAAGTGAAGAGGTAAGATGTTAGCCTGGCTGTGGGCAGTGCCAGCCCATGGAGAAAATGAGCTGAGCACTGGTGCTCATCTTGCTTCACTTTCTAACTGCAGATGCCACGTGGCCAGCTGTTCTGTGGTTTTGCTGCTTTCCTTTCTGTACACGGTGAGCTGTGTGACCCCTCAAACTGTAAGCCAAAATAAAATTGTTCTTCCAGAAATCGCTTCTTGTCAGGTCATTGGCTGCAGCAGCAAGAAGGAGAACTAACACAGCGTGTTTACCAGGATACAGCCTCCTTGTAATCAGAAGAAAATTGATGCTATCTGTATGTATCCTGGTGCTTCTGTTCTTCTAGAGAACACAGACTACTCTGGTCTATGGTTGATTTGAAACTACTAACATGATGTCATCAAGCAAGGAGTTGGTAAGAGATTCCCTACCTCAAAGATATAGATGTCATAAACCCAAGAGCACAGATAGTAAGTCACGAGTAGGTAATAGGTTCTGTGTACTTGTTACCTTCACTTATAATACTTAATTGTAGATAAACTTATTTAATTTTTAATAAGAGCTATACTTAACAACTGATTCACAAAATTCCTTAACAATGTCTTGTGGGTTAGTATCGACCAGTCTGGTTCTAGCATGCCACAGAAATGGCTATCTATCATTTTCAAATTCACATGTTTATTTCCTGACTCTTGGGGAGACTGATGGAATTCCAATTTCTGTTTCCTAAAGAAGGGAGAAGGGCCTCTGCCCTGGATTGGATTTTGTATCTGCCCATAGTCACATTTAACAAAACACTGATGTAAATGTGGCTGGACCCAAAGGGAGCCTGCTCACTTCCTGTTAGATCATCAGAAATCTCACTGGAGAGGAGACAGGACCCTAACATGATGCCCATGACAATGTTGCAAATACATAAATACACAGATACATGTTTCCTCCTGTCCTCTATCCCTCAAGATAGGACACGGACTGTTTCTGATTTACCCTTTTCCTATAGGGAGATTATGAAGCAATAGACCATTAGTTCTCAATGTGTGGTCCATCGATCGGCAGCATCTGCCTCACTTGGAAATCCTAGAGTGTGGAAACCAGCAGTTTATGATTAAAAACACCCAACAGGTTATTATGAGAGATGCTAATGATTGAGACCCACTGTATATGATTATTTATCCCTTCTTTTTAAAAAGTTATATTTTATCCATTAGGATTACAACAAAACAAATGTAGGTCATCCTGATAACATTCGATATTTCTCTCCAGTCTCCATAACTGACAGATAATTTCTTAGGATGCATTGCTCCTTCCAAGGAATAATCTCATCAACCATGTATTGATTCATGCTACTTCATCTCTCAAAAGAGGGCTATTTTTAAGTTCTGTGAATACTATGGCCCATATGCACCACCACATCATATAACCTAACAATATCTAAGTTTCCAGGGCCTATTCTGTGCTCTCTAAGCTCATTGAGATCTTCTTCATGGGTAGGAACTATGCTTTGGGACTTGGTTTTGGTTATATCTCTTACAGGAGTGGAGAGGTTGTATCAGACACTGGAGGATTCAATTGAATGGTCATGACTACTTTGAAATATTATTTCCTACCCTCTTGCTGTCTTGTATAGGAATTACTTAAAATTTATCATGTTTAATTAAAAAAGATAGGGGGAAACTATTAAAAATTTCAGTAATAAAACAGGAGATGACTGATAACTGAATTTTTCCAAATTATGGAATTTGTACCAAATTCCAGCATAAAGAAGGCACTTATACTTACCAGTGGATCTGATGTCTATGTAACAACTTCATTTTGGCATATTTCCTTCTAATAACTTTGTTTCTGTGTTTTTGTTATACACAGGAGATTATGTTACATTTACTTACATTTTAAAGTATTTATTTATTTGTGTGTTTGTGAAGGGACAAGTGTGTGCCATGCTCTGTGTGTGTGTGTGCGTGTGTGTGAGTTGAGGTCAAAGTATGAATCTCTACAGTTGTTCACCCTGTAGGATTCAGGGGTCAAAGTCAGCTTGGAAGGGCCACGCACAAGCACATCCACCTGCTGGGCCATCTTGCTGGTCTTACAGGCTATACTTACACATTCATTATTTAGAAGAAAGCCTATTATGAGCATTGCTATCGCTCAGTATTTTTTGAAATATAGTTTAATGTTATTCATTTGTGTCTGTGCCCTATAATTTAGCCATTTCCCAATTTAGGAACTTTGATTTATAGCTAATGTCTCATTTTTAAAGTACCATATGTGGTACAGTGTTGTACATACTTTCTAGCTAGCAGAATTGATCTATCCCTTGGACTGCTTCTAAGCGGTCCTGGCCACTTTTCCCTCCTTCTTCTGTACTGTAGTTTAAGTTGCTCATAGGTTTGCTCCTTCAGGTATTCACCTCTTTAATTCTTTGATCTGAGATCCTCATCATGATTTAATACACATTTGCATAAGCATAAAGATCAAAGTTGGAAATTGAAAAGGAACTAGTACCTTTTGATAGCAGTACTTTTGACACTAACTAGTACACCAGTAGTGTCTTACCCGGTCACTTTGTGTTCTCTGTGAACTCTCACTCTGATAGCATCAGCCATGCCAACACTTTAGGTTTGGGTGTTATAATCTCTAGTTCCTAAATCAGAAGGATGCTGATAAATGGTTTGACCCATGGCAACAAATATTCATACAAGAATGTTAGCATGTTTAATCCAAGGACATTTATTTTGTGAAGTACCTTGAGTTTTTAAAAACTCTAAAAATCAACAAGGCATCTTAGATCAGAGTATGAATCATCTTCCTATGTTGGCTTATTTCTGACAGAGGTCAGGCATCTTTTAACTTTTAAAAAATTATCACATTTATCCATGTATTGTGCATTTGCATGCATGTGCACCTGTGTGCATATACATGAGTGTGTGCTGTGATGTGGATGTGGTCAGAGGACAACTTTGGGAGTCAGTTCTTTTCTTCCTCCATGTAGGTTCCAGGGATTGAACTCGGGTCATCAGGCTTGGCAGCAAGTGCCTTTAGCTGTTCAGCCATCTTGCTGGCTCTCTTTTAGATGAAATATAACCCTATTAACAGACACATACACACTCATACACACACACACACACACACACACACACACACACTACAAAACTTCTAAATTGAAAATGAGCATCCTTTCCGTTTTTATTTTGACAAACCATCTCACCTATAGTCAAGTTTAAATCTTATTTCTTTCCTTTTAGAATAGGAAAAAGTAACAAAGTATTATTGGATTATGACTGCTACTAATAAAAATGCTTTCGTGGCATGGAACCAGAAATAAATACATTATAAATAGTTCTAGAATTAAAAAAAAAAATCTCTACCAAGTATGGTGGTGCACTCTGAAGTTGGGGCAGTAGGATTCCTTTGATATCAGGAGTTTGAGACCAGCCTGGGCAATACAGTGAATCCCTGCATCACAATCAAAATTAAAACAATTTCAGCGTACTTTTTTCTTGGATTGGGTTTTAAGAAAGAATGGTTATATCTCCAAAATATTATCGAAAATCTTGATTGCTGAATACATAACCAGGAAGCAGCATAAATTTACAGGACATTGAGCAGACAATTAATGAATACTGCCATTTTGAAACTAGTATTATTCATGTTTTTCTCATTCTCTAGTATGTTTACCCTCTTGGCAAGCCACTAACTTGAGAAAGTACGAAGTAAACGTCTAGTAAAGATCTCGCCTCAACACAATTGAGATGCCCTACAAGGAGGCTTCAGGAGCAAACAAGCAGGTTCAAACGGGCGCAATAACCATTAAACAGGAGACAAACCGACATGGACGCCTGGCTTTTGTTCTTTTCTCTACCTGTCTACCAAAATCACAGGTGAGTAACCGGAGGGTGCCGCTAGGGGGCAACAACACTCAGCGGCTTCACCGGCGTTCGCGGGGGTGGGGGTGGGGCCCCTCCCTTCCGTCCTCTCGTTCGTCTGGACTTCCGCCGGAAGCGGCCCGAGCAGTTGTTGTCCTCTGATATTTGGGCTCCGGTTGTGCGGCGGTTCGTCCCGCCTGGCGGGGTGAGGTTACCGCCGAGGAGCTGGAGCGGCAAGGTGGAGCTTAGACACTGGCAGCGAGATGGACATCCTGAAGTCGGAGATTCTGCGGAAGCGGCAGCTGGTGGAGGACAGGAACCTGCTGGTGGTGAGGGTCCTTTGGCTGTGGCGTTTGGGGCTTGAGGATTGTGTTCCTGTGCGTGGAAGGGTGTTGGGGTGAGGGCGAGGGTACTGAGAGGATTTGGGGCGTGGGGTTGACAGTTCTGCCACACTGTCCTGGGGCAAATTGCTAGCCCATAGCTAGCAAGAGTGGGTTTGAACCCTAGTCTGAGCCACTTCAGCGCTTACTCTCCTAACCAATACCAGCTGCAGGTAGAGTAATCAAAACAACTTAGGGGTCATTAGACATTCCAGGTCGTGTCACCGAGAGTCAGTACGCTTTACTCCTAAGCAATCTGGCACATGTCATGGAGTTCAGTGCTTATTTGTTCCTCTTTGTGTGTGAGTGTGTGTGTGCGCAAAAATTTATGTGCGAAGGGCTACATGGATCTTAAGTTTATTGCTCAGTGATTTTTGACCAATGCAAACACCTGTGTAACCCTGTCTCCACGAGGAGCTAAAATAGCACCTTCCACTTTTCTAATCGGTGCCTGCCTGGATTAGCCAAGGAAGCAGCTACTGCTCCGGTGTCTTCCCACCTCGGTTTTGCCTGCTCTAGAATTTTGCATAAGCAGGATGTACATTTTTATATGGAGCCTCGTTTGATCAGATGGTGATATTGTGCCCCCCCCCCCATATATTGTGTATCCTAATAAACTTATCTGGGGTCAGAGAACAGAACAGCCACTAGACAGACATAGAGGCCAGAAAATGGTGGCACACACACCTTTAATCCTAGCATTCTGGAGGCAGTGATCCATCTGGATCTCTGAGTTCAAAGCCACCCTGGAAACCGCCAGGTATGGTGACACACGCCTTTAATCCCAGGAAGCGATAGCAGGAAGCAGAAAAGTATATAAGGCGCGAGGACCAGGAACTAAAGGCTTTTTAAGCTTTTTTTTATTTTTATTTTTTATTTTTCGAGACAGTGTTTCTCTGGGTAGCTTTGTGCCTTTCCTGGAACTCACTCTGTAGCCCAGGCTGGTCTCGAACTCACAAAAATCCACCTGGCGCTGCCTCCCAAGTGCTGGGATTAAAGGCGTGCGCCACCACCACCTGGTGGCTTTTTAAGCTTTTTAGCACCAGTTCAGTTGAGATCCATTCAGATGAGGACACAGAGGCTTCCAGTTTGAGGAAACGAGATCAGCTGAGGAATTGGCGAGGTGAGGTTAGCTGTGGCTTGTTCTGCTTCTTTGATCTTTCAGCGTTCACCCCAATACCTGGCTTCGCGTTTGTTTTTATTAATAAGACAATTTAAGATTCGTGCTACAATCAACTTTTAGAGTATTACTCATTTTCCTGCATTTATTTTTTTATTTCTTAAATTGTATTCTGTTCTCTGAATAGATCCAGTTACCCATTCTCCTAGTGATGAGTTTTGAGCCGTTTCTAAGATTTGGTTGAGCAAATTCTGAACCTTTTGGGAAGCTTTATTTTTATGTCTCTTTGGAAGTGCTAGGTTATAGAGTGCATGTATGACTACCTGTAAACATGCCACTATCTTTTTTAACATCGCTGTACCATGTTACATATCCATGAGCAGTGTCAGAGAGTTGGCCTGTCTGCGCTCTGACCAGCAGTTCATGTTGCCAGCCTTCTCAGTGGAGAGGTATCTGTGTGGTTCTTATTTACATCTTCCTGATAAATTATATTAAGTACTTTTTGTGTGATTTTTTTTTAGATGCTTATGTAGCTTTTGTGAAGTGTTAAAACAGCTTGCAAATTTAAATTAGGTTAGTTTTTTTTTAAAAAATTGATTATCTGGACTCCTTTATATATCTCACCACTTTCTTTCATAAGTATATGTCTTTTGGATATTTTCTTCCAGATTGGACTATTTGTTATTTCATTAATAGTACCTTTTGATGAGTAAAAGCTTTGTGTGTGTGTGTGTGTGTGTGTGTGTGTGTAACAGAGGACATTTATATTTATGCATGGGGGAGAGCATGGCAGGGGCCCTTGGGCTTATCAACAACAAGACAATCAGTATAGATTGGAAAACAGCCAGGTTGGGTTTGTATGGGGGGGTGGTCAGGAACCAGAGAGATGAGCATAGATGCTAGCTAAAACTCCAGGAGAGAAAACATTGCACCAGGAATCTGAGAAGGGGTGTGTGCATGCTTGCGTGTGTGTTCGTGCCCCTGTCCCTGTGTGTCCATGTCTCCAGCAGCACAGTGGCAGTGGTGAGGACTTCGTTACTACTTAGGCACCCTACACTTTTTCAGTGATACCCGAAAACACTCTCCCAGGCCCAGCATGTTGACCACAGGCCTCAACTTTTGACCACCCTCTGCTCTGGATCCCAGCCATCTCCTCACTCTGGTGCCCTCGGAGCTGACAGTAACTCCTTTGCTCTCCCTGTATAGGCTATATAGATGACAGATGCTGGTATACCTGGACCTGCATGCACCAGGGCAGGGTGGTGTCAGCCGCCTGTTCCCCTGCTCTCTGTATATAGCCTGTTTGGTGCGGGTGGTCCTGGACCTGCCTGCTCTCAGCCAGGATGGTGTCAGCCAGCTCCTGGTGCCTGGTCTCCTCCTGTTCTGTGCGAGGCACTGCAGAGTGTTCAGAGCTGCAGGAAGTAAGGTACTATAGGATTCCACTTGGCCTCCAGGTGCTTCCCTGTGCTCTTATTCGAGCAATTCATGACTGCTTCCAGGTTCCCTTCCTCTTTGATGTCTGAGATTTCCTCCCAGATGGGGGCCCTCAACTGGGTCACAAACTTGCCATCGTAAATCCTCTGCAGCATCTCAGGCTGCAGCTGGTAGAAGTATTTGAAACTGTTAGTGAATCTTGTAGCTGCTGGTGGCAACTTCCGAAGAAAAATGTCCACCATGGTGTCAGGGTGAACCTTGAGGTGGCAGTGCCAGGCCACCAATTAGGAATGTGATCCTGTAGACCTTTGCCACAACCACTGCCTGGTGAGATTGCTTGGTTCAGCCATGTTGAAATCACCAGCGGCTTTGGATTTCAATAGAGCACAGTTTATTTTCGTCCTCACCCTCCTCTTCCCTCTCCTCCTTTCTTTCAATTCTTGCTATGCAGTCTTGCTTCAGGTTGGCCTTGAATTGATGCCTCAGCCTCCCAAGTGCTGGGGCTGCAGTCATGTACCTATCTTCAGTTTGTCAGGTTTTTTTTTTTTTTTTCTTTTGGTTTTTCGAGACAGGGTTTCTCTGTGTAGCTTTGCGCCTTTCCTGGAACTCACTTTGTAGACCAGGCTGGCCTCAAACTCACGGAGATCTTCCTGCCTCTGCCTCCCAAGTGCTGGGATTAAAGGCGTGAGCCACCACCACCTGGCAATTTGTCAGTTTTTTAATGGTTATTGTTTTCTGCGTCTTGTTGGGTGATTAAAACAATGTGACCGGTTGGAAAAACAGATGGGCAATTTCTTAAAAGGTAAGTGACTATTTGGCATGTGAGCCAGCCAGCATTCTACTTGCTTGAGACATTTGAGTAAATTGTAAAGGTGCTGTTTTCTAAAATTCTTTCATTTAATACTGGTCATTGTAAGAACATTTTGAATCAGATTTTCATTTGATACAAAGGAGGAGTTATAACTAACGAAATCCAGAATTGATATGGTAAGATTGATTCCAGGTGAGGAGGCCTTACACATTCTTTTGGAGTGCTCGTATTGATGAGAATTTTGGAACTGGCTCTATATGCCATAATTTCTGTTCTGGTTAGGAGAAAATAACAAAAGGATATCTCTATGTGGTTCCTAGTAAATCTGTCTGGAGAAATTATGTTTGAACTTAGATGTCAGGAAAGTGAATGAAAAACAAAAACATTTTGAAAATACTGTGGTGTATTCTCTGCTGTGAGAACTCCTATTAGAGTTCAAGTAGAATATTGAGTGTTTATCACACGTCAGGACACAGGTCCTCTGGTCGAGGGGCCTCCATACAGGGGCCCGGTGTGAATATCTCCAGGACTAAAAACATTACCAAATTCTTGAAAGCTGAAGTGTTTTTAAAGGTTTCTAAGAGTACTTGATAACTATGGGGCATGAATTTCTACCAAGGATACATTATTAACTTACTGTTTTTTTTTCTTTGATAGGAAAATAAAAAATATTTCAAGCGGAGTGAACTTGCAAAAAAAGAAGAGGAAGCATATTTTGAAAGATGTGGCTACAAGGTATAAGTTCAAGGTTTTATCTAAGTCATATATTTCTGAGTTTAAATTTATATAGCTGTTGTTAAATAACAAAATTATTGATCTCTGTTCAATTTATCAATGTTACACATTAGCCTATAAATGAGAAGCCATCTGGAGAGGTATGAATTTTTGGTTTTGGTTTGGCTTTAAAAAAACAAAACAAAACAGATCTTGAATTCAGGAAAATACATGCATGACTTTTGGCTTGGAATGGTTTGGCTTTCTGTGGACAGCATGAACTGGCTTGAGATCAAAGCTTGATTTTTTTTTTTTTTTTTTTTAAATTAAGCCCTGGTTCTGATACTGCCTTATCTTCATCTCCACCACCACTCTCCCCCCCACCTCTCTCAGTAAAATACTGTGTTTTGAAAGAACTCAAAACACTATTCATTCAGCCTTGATTGTATTGGCAGCAGGATTGTCTCTGGTTCCTCCTGAGCACTGTAAGCAGTTGGTTTTCTGTTAGATCTGTTGATAATTCCTTCTAGGCCCAGTACTCCTGCCTGCAACAGAGTACTCAACCCTTTGTATGCTTCTGTTTGTTTTAAACATGGGGCAGCATTTGTGATGCTGTGTAGTCTATTGGTTAGAAGAAGAATTTGGAAATAAATGAGCTGTCTGAAAGGCTTCCTTTGTGTGCTTTAGATGCATGACTGAAACACTATGTCACATTGCCTAGTTGATAATTGGGGTTTTTCTTGGGAGGGTGGAGAAATTGTTTCAGTTGTTTTAAAGTGGACTAGTTTAATGTTCTTAGCTCCCAAGTAACAGGGTCTGTTGAAATGTACTGAATCATACACTTGATGATAATACTCCTGTGCATGGAATGGAGGAAGTTCTGGAAATTTGTATAGCATATCATTTGTAGAGGAAAGCATGAAGAATGTAGATGCTCTCCGTATGCATTTGGCTTTATTTTTTTACTGTTGGAAAAAGGCAAGTATCAAAGAAATATTTTTAAAGATAGATGTTTGAAAGTTTATATTTTTATTTTGATAGTTTTCTGTAAAGATACCAACTTCATTTGCTTCTAGTTTAGGACAGTAAAAGATGTTCTATGTAAATAACCATTGAGTAGATATGCAGAAAGAAGAGTTCTCATGCTTTGCTTGCCCAGCATCATGCCTAGGCTTGGCCTGGAGTAAGAATCCTTTATCATGTACTTCTTTGCTGACTTGGTCCTCTAAGAATGGAGGAAAATAGTTTAATATAGTGCAGCTTTTGCTTTGTGTAGATCCTTTCTGTGATATGCGCAGGGTTTTTGTCTTTCTGTTTTTTTGTTTTTTGTTCCTTTTTTCTTATATAAGGAGAAGGGGTGAAGCAAAATAATAGTGCTGTAGCCTTGAATCTGACTGACCAAATGTCTTAGATCTTGGTCCCAGAGCTGCCAGCTGCCATTGTGTAATTAAAAATGCCTCAGCTCTTGGTTAGGAGAAATACCTGCTTATGTAGTTAAAAAGAACGGTAACTTTTTTGCTCTTTAACAACCCTCCCTCCCTGGAGTCGCGGCAGGATAGTGTGTACTGCTTTTACGCCTATGTAGGAGCTAGACCCCATTTTGGAGGCTTAATGCTGGTCTGACCTGTGTAAGTATTCAAAAAGTTAGTTTTTAATCTCTGTTTTACTTTACCTTTAACCTAAGCTATTGAATCATGAATTGCATGATTTTTATTGTACAAATTTTCTTAGTGGGACAGTAGTTTCTTAAAGCAGATCTTTGTCTCTTTGAATCTTATTCCTACTTTTGAATTTTAAACTTAGTTTGTAGTTGAATGGAAACCACACTTGAGTATGTTTCCGGGCTTATAAATTGCCAGACTCAGTTTTCCCAGTCTCTGCTGCCCAGATACAAAAAAATAGATGAAGACATTTCCCCCATAGGGTCATATGAGCAAAGGTGTCCATACTCCTTGGATGGCATTCCAGTCTTTATTCCACTTCCTCAAGGTTGGCAGCTCATCTTGTTGTCCAGTAGTGCCCAGCCCTAAGCATTTTCAGCATGTCTAGTAGGGGTTTATCTAAGGTGAGTGATATGTCTGAAGAAGCAAAATAGAGAAGGTCTAGTTTGCCGCTTCACAGATTCTGTTGGGAAGCGGTTCTTTAGTCTTCATTTCAAAGGTGAGCAGCAATTGGCTAACCCTTGAGATAATTTTCTCACAGAGGAGAGGCAAATGGATTGTTTTCAAGAGAGAAGTGGGCTGTTTTAGCATCTGGGGAGAAATTGAGTTCGGATTTCAGCACTGTTGAGTTTTTGTTTCAGAAATGGCTGTAGTCATGCCACTCCTTTAGAGCAAGAATGCGCTCTCCCATGTGCATGCTTTCCACGTGTCATGTTCCTGAAATGGATGTTTGATCAGCTCTTGAAAGCATGCACGGTTACTCTGCAGCCTTTGCTCAGAGGAACAGGTAGTTAGACCTTCAGTATAAACACTCTTTTTTCATGTGGACAGCTAAGGTGATAGATGGTGAATAGAAATATGCTGGTAAGTTTAAATTTTATTTCTTTGGGCTATTAATATAGATACAGCCAAAAGAGGATGACCAGAAGCCACTAACGTCATCAAATCCAGTGTTGGAACTTGAACTGGCAGAGGAAAAACTTCCCATGACTCTTTCTAGGCAAGAGGTAAGGTTATATTTGAGTCTTTTATAGCCAGAAAGAAAAAAATTTGCACTGTACTCACATAAGTTATGTTATTTCCAAAATACGATGATTTGACTTAAAAATCTAGTGTAGCCAGACAGTTTTTTCGCGAACTTGTAAATCTCTGCTTCCTTTGATAGTATTCTTATTTCAAAATAAAACAGGAGCCGGAGCGATGGCTCAGGGGTTAAGAGGAGTGGCTGCTTTTCCAGAGGACCAGAATTGGATTTCCAGCACACACATGGTGATGGCTCCCAACACTCTGTAACTCCAGTTTCAGGGGATTCAGTGCCCTCTTCTGGCCTCTGTGGGCACCAGGCCACACACGTGGTACACAGACCTACATGCAGGGAAAACACAGATATAGCCCCCCTCCACACACACACTTTATCATTATCGTGTGAGTATACGATGTATCTGTGGATGACAACCACGTGCAATTACTTTTAACCTTCTACCTTTCCATGGGTTCCAGGCGTCAAACCCAGGTCACCAGACTTGTGCAGCAAATGCCTTTACCCCCCAAGCCAGCTCCACCAGCCAGTAGTCTTTCTTTTTCAAAGGTTGTATTTTAAATAAGTATAAATTTACACAATCTAAGTAATTGTACTTGTTATTATCTAAATTACTTAAATGATACTGTTTTGCTGTTTACATCTCTTATTTTCTGGTCCATTTTTTCAGATTAAAACAGATCTGTGTAATTTCCCCCCTCTTTTCTTTAGTGCTACATAGTTTTTAATGTCTGTATAATTTCTCTTCATGTATTTGCATGATTTTTTTTTGTTTTTTTGTTTTTTGTTTTTTGAGGCAGAGTTTTGTGTAGCCCAGACTGGATTGAATTTTGATATGTATCACAGTCTGCCTCATGATGCTCATCTTTCTGCCTCCCCTTCCCGGGGCCTGGATTTTTACTACTATGCTTTTAAACAGTTTCTTTTCTTTGTCGTGTAGATTGGTTCAACATTTCCTTATGAGTGACACCTAATGAGACATTATTGCTTATGTAATTAGGATTATGTCCCTTGGAAAGGCTTCTAGAAGTATGGTTTTTAGGGCAAACACTCTTGCAGCTACCATGTGAAAGTTAGTAAGAAATTTGGACATTTATCCAGATGAAGTTCTTGGTGGTTTTTAGTTTACATACATACATACATACATACATACATACATACATACATACTTTTTATTTTTTAACTATTATTTTTATGTGTGTGAGTGTTTTGGCTGCATGCATGAAGGTGTGCTTGTGTGTGTGCCTGGTGCCTGTGGAGGTCAGAAGAAGGTATTGGATCCCCTGGAATTGGAGTTTCAGATGGTTGTGAGCTACCATGTGGGTGCCGGGAATTGAACCAGCGTCCTCTGCAAGAGCAGCAAGTACCCTTAACCATTGAGCCATCCCTGCAGCCTTGACTTTTGTGTTTTAAAGGTCTGTTTAAAATACATGTTATCAAATGGCTTTGTAGACATTTGTAACCTGTTTTCTAGTTTATAGTCTGATCTGTAGTGTTTATCCACAGTCTGATCTGTTTCAACTATTATTTTACTTAACAAATGAACATATATGACATGAAGAATTCAAACTATATGTTAAAGAATACATAAAATAAACATGGCTTGGGGCTGGAAAGATGACTCAGCAGTTAAGAGCACTGGCTGCTCTTCTAGAGGTCTTGAGTTCAATTCCCAGCAACCACATAGTGGCTCACAACCATCTATACTGGGATCTGATACCCTCTTCTGGCTTGCAGATAGAGCACTCACATACAGAAAATAAGTAAATCTAAAAAACTAAATGAACGTGGCTTCCATACATTGTGTGTTCTGTCCTCTCTGCTCTCCTGTTTCCATTCCCAGTCCTCGCACAGGCGTGATGTACACGTGTGCCTTTTATCGCAGTTGGTAGAGTGCTTGTCTTGCTCGCACTTGGGGAGGAAGATCGCTTGCAGCAGTCAGTTCTCCTTCTCCATGTGCATCTCAGAGGTGAACTTGGGTATCAGGTTTGCTGGAGAATGCCTTCACCCACTGAGCCACCTCACTAGCCCCCACGTCTCTTCATTTAATAAATTAGAATGATGGAATTCTTACATTATTTTGAGAACAGTTAGTTTATTGCTTTCTTTTAGGCATAACTACTGTGTTATAATTCCGGATAGATGGGAATTCCCTATTTAAATAGATGTCAGAAGTATTACATAATTTATAGTTACTTCGTTTGTTGTTAATAGTCTCCAGTTGGAAACAGTGTTTTAAAGTAATAAGCTCAGTTTTTTCTATTTTAGGTTCTTTTAAGTTTTGATTAACTCAGTGATCTTTTGTTCTTATGATGCCTCATAAATATATCTGTGTTTTAACATATCTAATTGTGGATAAGATTAAATGTAAAGACATTTCATTTAATGTAAATGTAAATCACTAGTTGATTAAAGTGTCATCCTAACATATAGCATGTCTATCATAAGAAATCCTGGAAGAGCAAACATAGATTTTGCTTTTTTTTTATTTTGGTTTTTGAGACAGAGTTTCTCTGTAACAGCTGTGGCTGTCCTGGAACTCACTCTGTAGTCTAGGCTGGCCTGGAGCTCCCAGAGCTCCAGCTGCCTATGCCTCCTGAGTGCTGGGATTAGAGGTGTGTACCACCACTGCCTGGTGCAAACACAGATTTTTTTGTTTTGTTTTGTTTTTGTTTTTTCGAGACAGGGTTTCTCTGTGTAGTTTTGGTGCCTGTCCTGGATCTCACTGTGTAGACCAAGCTGGCCTCGAACTCACAGAGATCCACCTGACTCTGCCTCCTGAGTGCTGGGATTAAAGGCGTGGGCTACTGCCACCTGACTCTTTTTTTAAATCTATATTTCAAAATAGTGTTTGGACACTAACGTATGTGTTAACATATGTTTAAAAAGGACTAAGCAGTCATAATACTTGAGACGAGGGCCCATAGTGTGTCACTTATGCTATGTCCTGACAAATGGACATGTGTCTATGTCTGTGTGTCTGTATCTAAATCTAGATGGCTGACATGAAGGGCTTGCTTTAGATTTGCATTATAGATTCATACAACTTGATAGGAATTATTCAGTAAAAGAATGTATGAGATACTTGAGTCAAAATAGTGCTTTATCTAAAGTATTTTCCCCTTTCATTCACAAATATCTGTTATGAGATAGGTGATTAAAACTTACTTGAAGGATCTTGGGGCTGTCATACTGACTGACTGGTGAATGTGCTTGCTTGTGGATCCTTCCGACCTGAATTGGATCCCTGGTACCCACGTGGTGGGCAGAAAGAATTGACTCCTATACGTTGTTCTCTAACCACTGCACACACTTCATGGTTCACCGCCCACCCAAATACATTTTTCAAAACAAAAAAAAATTGAAGAATTTTATGTTTTACTTAGAAACATTTATTTGCATAATTATACTTATTAAACTTAAGTTTCAGTTTAAGATAAATATACACATTGTTTTGAGATATTTAGTGGGTTTTTTTCCCCTCTTTGAAGTTTCCTTTATGTGTCTTCATAGGTCATCAGAAGACTGAGAGAAAGAGGAGAACCAATTCGACTCTTTGGAGAAACCGATTATGACGCTTTCCAGCGTTTAAGAAAAATAGAGATTCTTACACCAGAAGTTAACAAGGTGAGACGTCAGAACAAAGCTAAGAACATAGAATGGCACCACATAATCAGGAGTAGCATGGTTGGACTGATTGCATTATTGTAGGCGAATATGGGAAACTGTCAGCATAGGATGGCACTACAAGAACTGGAGTAGCGTGAGATTTGACTAACTGCATTGTTGTAGGCGAATACAAGGAACAGGGTCAGCATAGGATGGTACTTCGTGAGCTGGAGTAATGTGGGATTTGACTTGCTGCATTTTTATAGGCAAATATGGGAGAATAGTGTCACCTTAGTGCTGCTGAAGTAATTTTACTTTTTTTTTTTTTCTTCTTCGAGACAGGGTTTCTCTGTGTAGTTTTGGTGCCTGTCACTGGCCAGGCTGGCCTCTAACTCTCAGAGATCCTCCTGGCTCTGCCTCCCGAGTGCTGGGATTAAAGGCGTGTGCCACCACCGCCCGGCATAGTAAGGGATGTATGTATCTTAAGCGTAACATTCGATCTATTTTGACAAATACATGTGAGCATATAAGGATAAAGAATATATTCATCACCCAATGCCCCTGTCACTTCTCTGCTCCAAGGCAGCTACTTTCTGAATTAAGACACCGTGAATTAAGTTTTACTTCCTGTTTTGGTAGTTAACATTTTTAGTATTTCATATGGATAGACCCAAGAGTGACTATCTAGTTTCTTTGGCTCAGCATGACATTTTTTAAAGTGCTATCCATGCTGTTGTGGATAGTTTCCTTTTTATTGCTTAGTTATATTAGTTATATGACTATGCCACAGTTTGTTTCTAGTTTGGGCCTACTGTGAATAAAACTATCATGAATACTCATGCAATTATTCGAGGAGGAGTCGATCTATAGTCTCCCCACCCTCCAGAGTAAATAGGTTTTCTCAGGGTAATAGCTACAAGTAGCATTACTCAACGGTAAGAATAAGTGCATGCTTTATAAGAAGTGTCAGGCATTTCTAAAGATCAGCGCATGGTATTGTTAGATTTTTGAATTTAAACCATTCTCTTGTATGTGTAAAATCTCATGATTTTATTCATGTCCCTGATGACTGAAAATGAACGAGCATCTTTTCATACTTGCCTTCTTTTGTCCAGTGTCTGTCTTGTGTCATTGCTGTGAGAAGTACCTAACAAACGCAGCTTCAGGTCAGCTGTTTATTTAGGTGACACTTTGAAGGGATACTGTTCATTTGGGCAGGAAGGCAGGAGGTCATCGATCACATGGCAAACACAGTCAGGAACAGAGGGGTGTGTCTGGCATTTGGCTCTTTTTCTTCTTTGTTCCATCTGGGACCACAGGCCATGGGATGATACCACTCACACTTAGTGTGGGTGTCCAGGCTCAACTAACCCAGTCTGGATGATCATAGCTGTACCCAGAGATTTGCTTCTGTAAATTCCATCAACAAGATTAACCATCCAAGTTTAGAAAAGCCCTTTACCAACACTTGGCACCATGTAGCCTCCTCATTCTGTCACTGTTGCATCTGGAATGATATGTGTAATCTTCATGAAGAAACCATATTGTATCATGTAAGTGTCAGGAACCTGGAGAGGAGGACACGCAGAATGACTTGAAAGTTCATGAGGAAAACACCACCATTGAAGTAATTGAATTGCTTGTCTTTTATTAATGTGTTTTTATTAGTTAGGAGCTGCTTATATGTGCTGGATATAAGCCCTTTGTTACGTACACAGATAGGATTTTTTGACTGATTTAGTTCCTAGCCTGTGAATTACTTATTTTATTTTATTTTTTTTATGGAGTGTTGCTGAGCATACGTTTTCAATTTTGATAAAGTCCAAATTGACTGTTTTTTAATTTAATTTTAAATTTTTCTTATGCTTGTTGGTTTTTGTGTTCTGCTTGAGAATTCTTTACATATGGGAAGGACTTGAAGAGATGTTTTGTGTTTTCTTCTAGGAGTAACAGTTGTGGATTTTAGGTGGGAGACTCTGATCATGTGTTTGTGCTCAGCATCTGGTCCGTTCCATGGTTCCTGAAAGGCTGTAGTTTTGCTTTGGTTGTTTGGTTCTACACCTGTCAGTTAGGGCTGTGTTTGGTCAGCTCTTCTGGGGCTTCATTAATGTTTTATTACTTACTCTGTTCGTTAATGAAAAGTATGTGTGGTTTTCTGTGGCTGTATAACAGACCTTCCCAAAACTTGATGCTATGAAGCAATTTATTAATCTCAAGTCTTTCTTGGTTATTGTAACTTTAATGACACTAGACAAAGTCAGTTCTGACATTTGATGACTAAGCTAGGCAGTCCTTTGCCTAAGGTCTTCATGTGATTGCGATCAGATGGAAGTGGTTGTTGTCTTCTTCTGAGGGCTGCTCTCCTCCAAAGAGTAAACGGAGGGGGAGTAGTCATGGGGGAGACTGTGGTCGGAGACCCGTCGTTTTCACTAAACTTCATTATTAGAACATAATGACCTTGCTGATACCAATTTGTAGATTTGTAACGCAGGTCTGTTTTCTCTTTCTTAGCGTTAGACTGGACAATGCGCATACATTCTTTTAAATATGTTTATAATAATTAACTTTTGAGTGATGCTAGTATTAGTATAATGAATTGATTTGTTTGAGTCCCTAGTTTTGACAAGCCCTTAACATGAAATGTATTTTTGGGGGTGGGGTTTGGGAGGGGAAGGTTGAGACAAGTTCTTATGTAGCCCAGGCTGGTCTCGAACTGAACCATCTGGTCCTTCTGCCTCTACCTCCCCAGTGCTGGGACTACAAGTGTTTAGTCCATGCCCAGTCTCTAAGTACTGGGGAGCTTTGTGCATGCTAGGTAAGCACTCTGCTAACTGAGCTGCATCTCAGCCTAGAATGTACTTGATATTAATGAAAGATCACAGATCACACCCTGGTGAAATTTCCTAACTGGTGCCTTTCTTGTTCTCCCCTTCCGTAGGGCTTAAGGAATGATCTGAAAGCAGCTTTGGATAAGATTGACCAGCAGTACTTGAATGAAATTGTGGGTGGTCAGGAACCTGGAGAGGAGGACACACAGAATGACTTGAAAGTTCATGAGGAAAACACCACCATTGAAGAGCTAGAGGTACTCTCTACCCAGCGCAGCCCATTCCCCAGCATCCCTTCCTCCTCAGGAGCAGTGCCCCTCCCTACACAGTATACTCCTTTGTCACTGATGGCACTTTTTTGTTTTAGGTCTTGGTTTTTTCTCATTCACTCACATTTCTGTATTTCCTACTTTCATAAACAATCATTGTAATGTTTGATGTGCATTCTTTTATTTGCTGTGATGTTCTTGTAAAGCTTGCAATTTTTATGTGCATGTAAAGTAATACTGTGTTGTGGTAATCTTTATTTTATTGCCCCCCGCCCCATTCCATACTGTTAAGATCCACATTTGTATGGTTTTTTTCTTTGAATTGGCCATGTATTATGGCATTCCTATATTTTACTTTTAGTTTCCTTGTTATAGTGGACAGTGTGGCTGCCCTCAGCTCCTCCTTAGCCACAGACATGGACTGAAACAGAATTATGGGGCTTATTTGGACATATTTCATTTGAGTCCTGCCCAGCTGCTCAGCCATGCTGTCTCGGTGTGTAACCCTACAAGTAGCACTGAGGGGCTTGTGTTCCTGCATTCCTGCCAACACTTGGCACCATGTAGCCTCCTGATTCTGTCACGTGTGCTGCATTTGGAATGATATGTGTAATCTTCATAAAGAAGCAATATTGTGTCATGTAAGTGTCTAGCATGTAACATACAGTTTAAAGTTTGTTTTTTAATATTGACTACAACATAGGCTGTTATTTCTGTTTTCTTTAGTTTCTGGCTCCTGAACATGTAGTGATCTCATTGGAGATCGTGGTTGAGAGGTGGTTGTTTTACGGTCCTCCCCTTCCCATCCCTTGTTTAAGGTGGTGTGTACCTTTGACCTAAATAACTGGAGTGAGCAGTCACTTGCAGTCAGGCTTGTTCCCTCCCTCTCTCCCTCTTTTCCTTCTCCCTTCCTTTGCTATTATTTTTTTTAAACAATGTTGAGATATTTGCACCCTATATAATTCACCCAAATAAAGTATACAATTGAATGGCTTATAATATATATCCACAGGGTGTTTTTGCCACTAGCATAATCTGACTTTTGGCCATTTTTACCTACCTAGGAGAAATGCCCAGATCTGTCAACACTCACTGATATTTTATATTAAATTTACAAAATTGGGGTCGGCAAGGTGGCTCAGCTGTTAAGAATACCATGCATTGCTCTTTCAAGTTTGGTTCCCAGCACTCATGTTGAACTCTGGTCTCTGTGAACACCTGTACTCTATACACATATCCAAACACAGATACATAGCTAATAATAATAAAAGCCTTTACGATGTTTTAAAGCTGTTATTGTGGATATATATGGTATGCACATGATGTTTGGTAGGGGACTTTTGCCACTGCACGTGTGTGGAGCTCTGAGGACAACTTTGTGGACTTGATTCTCTCTATCCTCCTTTCCTTGGGTTCTGAGAATTGAACTCAGGTTGTCCAGCCTACATCATCAGACAGCAATTGCTTTTACCCACTGAGCCATTGTGCTGACTCTTCTTATCTTTGTCAAAGGTAGCACATTGTCCAAATATAAATATGCAGTCAGGTTTTTTTGTTTGTGTGTGTGACTTGTCTAGAAATTTCAGCAAATTTTAAGATAAAAATTGGTCAATATGTGTGATAAACCTCTTCTAACCTGTTGTTGGTCATACACACACTCTGATACACCTTTTTAACTGTTCTGTGTTAGTGAACAGAAGTATTGTTCTCTCTCTTCAGGCACTGGGGGAATCCTTAGGGAAAGGTGACGATCATAAGGACATGGACATCATCACCAAGTTCCTGAAGGTGTGTACTTAGGGAGGGAGAGCATTGTGGACATGGAAGAAGCAGTCTTAACGTTTGTGGATATATTTGGATAGGGTAATTGTCAAATGTTTGTACTTGTCATTTAAGAACCTGGTACTCATTGGCTGTGCCACTGGAGTCCTTAACATTGTTCATGCAGTGGTTAATGAGTGTCTGCGTTCTTGTGGGACTTTTCTTAGAAGCTGTAGAAAATGATTGCAGCAGCGAAGTGAACACCAAGTTTGTAGAATTCTCCTGTTCTCTGTAACTACCCTAGAGAGAAGGGCCATGGAGGCGATCCCGAGGCTGTCAGGGGAGGGTGGAGGAAGGGCATTGGCAGTGCAAAAGTAAATACCTTAACTTTGCAGCAAGGCCCGTTTCTGGAGTTCTGTGTGTATTTCTTGTTGCTGGTCACTGGTCCCGTATTTGCTGTCAGCATTTCTTTGGAGTCATCTAGGTAGAGTGTGGTCAGATCCTGAATTCATTTCAGTATTTGTCTGTGTGCTGGGAGATTTAGTGCAGAGAGGCCTTTTATTTGTGTTTACATTTTATTTTACTTAGTTTGTTATTAAATTTTTATGCTGTTTTTCAAGACAGGGTTTCTTTGTGTGGCCCTGGCTATTCAGGAACTTGCTCTGTAGAGCAGGCTAGCCTCAAATTCAAGGAGATCCTCCTGCCTCTGCCTCCCAAGTGCTGGGATTAAAGGCGTACACCACTGCCGGCCAGCTAAAGTATTTATGTTTTGCATGCAACGTTTATTTGTCAAGGTTCTAGAATATATCTAGGCTACAGTGTGAACTAGACAGTGCAGGCAGCAGCATGGTTTCCCTCTTTGATAGTCTGTCCTCGTGTCGCAGCAGAGAGGGCCATGTCCCCTTGTCCTCACTGTCACCTGCCTCTGGAAGGAGAGTCCAGTTAAACCTGGAGTGAGAATTCCGGATCATAGTTTTATTTTTGTTCCTTTTTTTCTTCCTTCACCATTAGTTGGGTGTGTTGATGGGATTTTTTAATTGAATTTTCTGTTCTAGTAGGTAAAAAGTCCAAGATATATGTAAGATACTTCAATCATTGATCAAATGTCAAAGTGTGCACAATATAGATCAGAAGTTCTTAACTTTCCTAATGCTGCAACCCCATGTGGTGACCCAGCTGTAAAGTGCTTTCTGGTGCTACTTCATAACTCATTGTGCTACCGTGAGGAATCATAAATATGCAGGATATCTGATAAGTGACCCCTGTGAAAGGGTCATTCAACTCCCCCAACGGGGTCAAGACCCACAGGTTGAGAAGCACTGGTATAGATGCTAACTCTAGATTAGTTGAACTATGTGTAATGGATACAAGTAAAAATACAGTGGAAGTTTAATCGGGTCATTAAGGAATTTGTATCTCTTTTCTGAGGAAATGGATCATCTTCACAATGTAGTAGTACTAGCGGTGTTTGTTACTTTGAAACACATGATGAAACAAACAGAACTTGCTTGTTAATCTTATTTGACGCTAATTTAATCAGCGAGGACAGTGTTGTAAGGAAGGTTGATTGTGTACCATCGCTGTGTTAGGGAACTTTTCCACCCAAACCACTGGGTGGCATTGCAGCCTTAACTTTTTCTGTCAACAGTTTCTTCTTGGCGTTTGGGCTAAAGAATTGAACGCCAGAGAGGATTATGTGAAACGCAGCGTGCAGGGCAAACTGAACAGTGCTACGCAGAAGCAGACCGAGTCCTACCTCAGACCACTTTTCAGAAAGCTCCGGAAAAGGGTAAGGTTTCTGGAAAATACTTTAAATACATGTTTGGTTGTTTTTTTTTTTTTTTAAATCAGAGTATATAGATTTAGAATAAGTAGTTTTCACTACATATAGTAGCTTCCAAAACTAGTTGTTTTTTTCTTTTTCAGAATCTTCCTGCTGATATTAAAGAATCAATAACAGATATTATTAAATTCATGTTACAGAGAGAATATGTGAAGGTAAATTATTATACTGTGTATTGCAGTTATTGCGACCATTATCTAGGTTATGGTCATAGTATAATGGTTATTTGGAATGGGAAGGATTGTACATAGTACGTTTAAGAATGAATGTGCAACAGGCTAGTAGGAAAAAAATCTTTCTGTTCTCTTGGCATGGAGTAACAAACTTGAAACCACAACTGTACTTTCTTAGTCATTGTAAAATTGGGTTAAAAGGTTCTTTAGAGCATGTGCTGTATATATAGGCAGTGTTCATTTTATGGATGGGATTGAATTTCAGGGTGTATAAATAGTTGATTATGGCAGAGAACGAATCCTCCCATAGGAACAAGGTTCTTCAGACTGCTACAAAAGCCACTTAATGTGTAATGTAGCTGAACCGTTGTACTGCTGAGTCAGTGGAATTTACCTATGCCTTGTTGTTTCTCTGGGAAGATGGTGCATGGAAGGCTGCCAGGACTCTTCTCAGCCTCAACAGTACTATGGGAATCGCAGAGCGCTGCTGGGGAGGGCTGTTCTTATTTACTCCAGTGTCTTTACTCTTGAATGGGCTCTGGGAGAGGTGCTGGGGAAAGCACCCTAGAATCCAAGATTCTTGGGGAGAGTTTGGAAGGGGGCATTGGAGGGAAGTCAGTTGGTAGAAGGGAGAGAAGGGCTCTGGATACTGATGCTACACCAGTGAGGAGGGGCTTCTCGTGGCTGAGCCTCCCAGGAAGCCTGGAGTGAAGATCTCTTGGAATCCCAGTGGCAGTGCTAGAGCACTGGAAAAGGGAAGAAGGGATGCTGGCCTTCTCGGGTGACGTCATGCTGCTCTCCCTGTTAGAGCGTTGGGTCACTGAAGCAGCGATTGGACTCGTATTGAAGCCAGTTGCTTCCGTGGAAATATTTATTTCATTCTTAGTTCTTGTTAGTTGCAGGGCTTTTTAAATTTATTTTAGTTCTCTGAGAGTTTCCTGCATGTTTTGATCATATTCCCTCCTCCCAGTTCCATGACATTTAATAAGCATTATAATCACTGCTTGCCCTGGTGGACACCTGCCTTTTCCACGATTTTATTCTCATGACGTGTATCCAAACCAGGTGAGAGCTTGTTTTGTATAAATGACAGAAAGAACCAGTAAATTTTAATAATGTGCTGGAAAATTCTCTTTGGAATTTTAGAGAAGCTGAAAATTGGAAGTTTTATTAAAGTCCCGTGTTGAAGTTACACCTGAGAGCCAGTGATTAAAACATGCAGAATTCCCTTTCAGCTGAAACCCTGTAATGTGTTGCAGGGCGGGTGGACGGTGATCTCCCAGTTACCTGTAGTGCTTGTGTGGCTTCCCCACTGTCCTCGCATCCAGTTAGAGTTTTGAAGTTGGAATCCTTATGAAGGCTGCCTGAAGTCCTTGGGGATCTCGTAGACGTTGCTTGCTCTTTGTTCTGTTCCCCTCCTTTCTCTCAGCTCACCAGACCTGACTAAAGTCGAGCTGTTTGTCTTCACTGCTTTCTGTCTTGACTTTTTTTTTAAGGCTCTTGGCAGGTGGGAGACTTGGGGGTGGTGAGAAATTTGGGGGTCAGAGTGAAAAGTGTACTTGTTCTCATGCTTCACATGCTTCATCTGTTTGACTAGTAAGCCAGTGTCCTGTGTGTTCATCTGTCGGTCACAGACCGTATGTGGTTATCCCAGCAGATAGAGTACCCACCCCGTCCAATACACACTGCTTCCTGAGCCCCACCGTGTGCTGTGTGATTTGCTGTGTGATTGCAGGTTGCATGGTGGAAGGCCAGCTAGCTCGTGTCTACCTCCCAGCCACGTGTGGTGAAGACTGGATCTAAGATAGAGTTTCTGTTAGCATGGCAAGTTAGCTACCTGCTCGTCCAGTCTGAAATGCATTGCTTTCCAGTGCACAAAGGCTAGAAAGGGTGTTTGTCTTTCTCACACGCTTAGCCTTGGCTTCTGTTTTCACAGGCGTTTGTCTTTCTGGGCAGGGCAGTAAGTCATCCCATACTTTCATGTCTTGATTTGAGCAATGGAACAATATTCATCAAGAAGTAGATGAGAAGTGAGTCAGGAAGGACTCTGCAATACTCGAACTAAACATTTGAACCAGTTTGTTTTGGCCTTTCTGATTTCTTAAACTTTCCTTTCAGGCGAATGATGCGTACCTTCAGATGGCCATTGGAAATGCTCCCTGGCCTATTGGTGTCACTATGGTTGGCATCCATGCCAGAACTGGCAGGGAAAAGATTTTTTCCAAGCATGTTGCACATGTTTTAAATGATGAAACCCAGCGGAAATACATTCAGGTAAGCAGCTTTAAGGGACAAGATTTGCTCTGACAATCTTTTTTTTTTTTTTTTTTTTTTTCTGTGTGTGTGTGTGTGTCTGTGTCTGTCTGTCTTTTCACACATGTGCACACACATACACATGGGCATGTACGTACCTTGGCATGCATATAGAGGTCAGAGGACAACTTTGTGGAATTAGTTCTTGTCTACATTTAGGGACCGTGGGTTCTGAGAATGGAACTCAGGTCATTTGGCTTGCATGCACAACAATTGCTTTTATCAAGCCATCTTGAAGGCCCCGCTCCAACATTAGTTGTGCAGATGTAAAAAGGTAAAATGTAAGAAAAGGATTACGCTAGTTCCCTTATCTGTGGGGAGTGCATTGAACAACCTCTAGTGGATACCTGAAATGTTAGACAATAGGAACCCTATGCATAGTACCTCACAGCCCAGATATATATTTAACTGTGATAAAAGTTAGTTTATTAGGCTGAGTAAGAAATTAACAACACAAGCTAGACATGGTGACATAACACCTGTAATCCCAAGACTCAATAGGTGGAGTTAGAAGAAGCATGGAGTAAAGGGAAGGAGGGAGATCATGTCTCAGATAAACATAAAATGCAGGAGGAGGTAGGGGAGATTGTTATAGTTGGATGAGGAGCAGAAGAGGGAGGTTGTTAATAACTGTTTAGAAAAAAGGACAGTTGTAACGATAGTCCGTAATGTTAGTTGTTGATTATGGCCTCCCTAGAAACAGTGTGGTCCTCTGACCACTCTGTGATAACGTGAGGTACAATTTCTACATAAGAAGATGAAGTGAGCTTGGTGATGTAGGCCATGTCATGTGAGTAGATGGTGGCGGCTACTGTTGAGCTTCTGCTGATCCTAAGAAAGAAGCCATGATGGTAACGGTTGACTAAAGGTAACTTAAGTGTGGAGACTAAACCCCACGTGAGGGAAGTGTGCACAGTGAGCAGGGCATAGCACAGGAGTGTGTGGGAAAGTTCAGTACTGCTGAGCACTTGTGTTTACGACAGCCTCATGGAGTAGAGGACGCCAGTGACAGTGACTTTCATACATGATAGAAAGGAGGGAAATCATTATGCTTTTAATTTTCTTACCACTAAAACAAAACTGTTGGAATTTGCTTTGGTTTGAGACAGGGGCTTCCTGTGAAGTCCAGGCTAGCCTCAAACCTCCACCTCCTGAGTGCTAGAGTTACTGATATGAACCATATCCAGCTTGCTTTTTTTTTTTAGTACATCAAATGAGTTCATAAGAGAAAACTGGGAGTTTAGTGAAGACAACCAATTTAGGGTGTTTTATAATAATGTGACTTGCAGTGTGGATTTAGTGTATGCTAACCTAAGAAGGTATGGAAAGTGAAGTCTTGGCTTCAGTGTATATGATTATTTTTAAGTAGCATATGAAAATATCTTTCTAATTACATGACTAAGTCTGAAGTATTTATAGTTAGTTTCTTGAAGTTATACATGCCACATACAAACTTGTTGGCACTAGGCTCAACTTTTCTAAAAACTTTATGTGAATAAAAAACAAAACTAACTATAATCTAGCTTTGGCAAACTGTCACAAATCCCAGATTGTGCGTAACGACTTGCCGGGTGGCGGTTCTTAAACTTGAAGATGAGCTTTGGAAGTTTACTGAAAATGTGCTTCAAAGCATAAAGTGCATTCAGATGCTGTGCCAGAGAATAGTTATTACCATATTCATGAATTATCTTTGTTTGGATTTTAGTTCCAAGTGCTGAATGTTAATTTGTGTGGCATACTTTATGCCTTATTCACATACATTAGCATTTAAAAACATTTCAACCTGACTCTCCAATGTGAATTGTGAAGTTTATAGAGTTCAATACACTTGGGTAAGTTGAAAGACATTTCCATTTTTTAAGTTTTAGAATTCTGCTTTGATTGTGTGTGTCTGTAGGGTGGGTGACACACGCATGCGTGGTGTTGATGTAAAGGTCAGTATTAGTTCCTTCTACCTCTCCGTGGGTCCTAGGGATCTAACCCAGGTTGTTAGGCTTGGCTGCAAGTGCCCTTGCCTGCTGGACATCTTACTGCTCATTTTCATTTCTTAATAACCACAGATGGCGGTAGAAAAGGCAAAAGCTTTGACTTAGAAAAGAGTGGTTTTTTTTCTTTGAAAATTGAATATAATTTCCAAGGATTACATTTACTAATCATGCTTGTTTATACTATGGCTACATTATAATGTTTAAAAGTTCATACAATTACATAATTTTGAAGACAGCATTTCTTGTAGCCAATGGTGTGGCTTCTACTTTCTCATAGACTCATTTAAAAAAAAAAAATATATATATATATAAACACACATAGATGTATATATATAGAGATATATATCTATATACATGTCTTTCCCTATATATTTGTATATATATATCAATAATAAATATGTATCCTTTTTTTAGAGGATTTCTAGTTTATTTTGGAGCTATGTAATGACCTGTCAGTCCTCCAACCTTCCTTTGTAACAATATTCTTTGATTTTTGTGTTGTTTGAGATACTTTCTCTGGGTAAACCTTTATGTTTTTTATCATGGCATTTAAATAAAACTACATATGAATAAAATTTAGAAAGGGGCTGGGGCTGGAGAGATGGCTCAGCAGTTAAAAACACTGGCTGCTGTTCTTCCAAAGGTTCTGATTCCAATTCCCAGCAACCACATGGTGGCTCACTACCATCTAAAATGGGATCTATTGCCCTCTTCTGGAGTGCAGGTATACGTGCAGACAGAGCACTCATACATTTTTAGGAAAAAAAAACCAAAAACCTATTATAGTTTGATATTTTTAAAATATATTTTAAAAATGTGTATGTATGAATACCTGTGTGGGTGGGTGTTCATATATATGGAAGATATATGTGGAAGGTACATGTGCCCAGATGTGCACTTGTATGTGGAGGCCAGAAGCTAGCCTCAGATAATTGTTTCTCAGGACAGCTATCCACACCTTTTTAAAAAAGGAAATATTTTTATGTTACATGTATGAATATTTGCCTGCATATGAGTATGTATACCACATGTGTGCCTTGTACTCATGGAGGCCAGACAAGGGTGTTTGATCCCTTGGAACTGAAGTTACAGACAACTGTGAGCCACTCTGGGTTCTGGGAACATAACCTGGGTCCTCTGCAAGGGGAGCAAGTGCTCTTAACCACTGCACCATCTCTCCAGCCCTGTCCCTCCAGCTCCCAGCTGTTCGTTTGTTTAGTGAGACAGCGTCTCTTACGTGGTACCTGACTAGGCTGGGTTATCTGGCCAGCAAGTCCCAGGGATCCTCCTGTGTTAAATCCCCGGTGCTGGGATTACAAATGCACCCCACCACGCCTAACTATGATGCTAGGGATTGAACTCTGGTCCTCATGCTTGGGCAGTGGGAACTTCAGAGTGAGCTAGACATTTTGTTATTTAAGTCTCCTTTTCAGCCAGGTTTAATGGCACATGCCAGTAATTGCATCACTTGGGAGGCTAAGGGGAATTGTGAATTTTAAGATGAGTCAGAACTGCATCCTGAGTTTAAGGCTAGCCTGGGCTAAATAGTGAGACCCTGATTCAAAATCAGAGAATTTTTCTGTTACCTGTAAGACGATTAGGGAAAGTTGGTGAGTGTGCTCTCTGAGATTTGGATCAACTAATAATACTGCTATGAATAGGACACGGTGTTCTGGATCCAGCCTGTTGATGAGGGAAGCCGTGGAATACTAAATAACAATGGAGCCATGTCTCTCCTTGGGCAGATGTTAGTGGCACAGGTCGAGTGACTTTTTAATATTTTCCTGATGGACTCGGATGATATGTTAGTCAAATATTTTGTCACTGTGACTAATGCCTAAGTAACAAAATCTGAAGAAGGAAGGATTATTTGGCTCACAGTTTCAAAGGCTTTACAACAGTGGTTCTGTTGTAAAGAACAGTCAGCCTTCCTGTTGCTGCGACCTTTTAACACAGTTCCTCATGTTGTGGTGACCCCCAACCATCAAATTATTTTCATTGCTACCTCTTAACTGTAATTTTGCTGCTGTTATGAATAGTAATGTAAATATTTTCAGAGGTAGAGGTTTACCTAAGGGGTCACAACCCACAAATTGAGAACCGTTACTTTAGAAAGTAAGGAGGGAATGCCTACATTAGCTAGCAGGCTTCTTCCTTCTTACCTCTTCTCCCCCTAGCTTAGAGCCTTTAGGACAGTTCTACCTATATTCCAAGAGGCTCTTTTTCTTAGTTTTCTCTGGGAACTCCCGTGCATATTGTCATGTGTTCTTAAACGCATTAAAGACAACCTGAGGAGATACCAAAATGTGTGGATGTCACATTAAGCAATAAAAACAATGTGCTTTTGCTTCAATTAATTTGACCAATAGCAAGCCTAAATTTGAATTCCCAACTTTGCTCCCTGTATCTTGTGGTTACTGGCCCATATGTAGTCTGCTTTGTGAATATGATCTGTCTCTGTTCCTGTGTGTTGTGCCTCTGAAACTGCGAGTCTCTATAGCAAAGGGCTTGGACAGCACAGAAGCCATAGCTGAGAAAGTATATATGATCATCACAGCATGGACACACACACACACACACACACACACACACACACACACACACACACACACACACACCCCTCCAGGGTCAGGGGTATGGAACAGTGTGTAACTTAAGATGAGAGCTATGTTTGTACCTTAGGTTGTCAAAGCTGACTGCATGGGAAATCCAAGGCACAGTAAGGTTGCTTACAGTGTTCTCTTAAAGGCAGGTTAAACAGACTAAGTACACAGTACCACAGCAGGTACATAGTACCTGCTGTTTTAGTTGGATATAATGTCTCTTGTAACTTTGGTCTCTTGGTGAAAGGTTGATTTAAAATATCCTCTGAGAGGATCATTTTCAACATGTGGCCTGAAGTTTAAATCAGGGGTTGGTAAACCTTTTTACTTTTTTAAGGGTCAGTTACTAAGTATCTAGGTTTGTGCCTCA